ATCTCCTCCTTGGTACGATCCTGCGGTAAGACATTTAGCACGTCACGAGTGCGGTCACCGGCCCGATCATTGTCTCGACACGAAAGATGCAAGACCACTTGCGAACACTCACAACCGAATGACCACCGGTCATGCTTTCAGGTAAATCGTATCTTGGTCGTTCGTCGATACTTGAAGTAGGTGTACGAACAAGAGGTCTTCGAAAAACAAGCACAAGGAGCGGAGTAGCTCCTCCTCGCCCCCCCTCAATCCTTCTGCCGCCTCTTTTGCCGCCACTCACCCCCCCCTCCCCCCTCTTCTCGACTCATCGGAATCTGCGGTACCCCTTGCCCGATTCTTTCCTTGACTGTTGTCACGAACTGCAACAACTCGTGTAGGCTAGCGCGCTCCGAGCTGGCGTGTGTCCATGTGCGGCGCGAGGGTTCTGTCAGGCGCATTCCACAAGTGGGTAGTGGGTGGCGAGGAGAGCGGCGGGAGCTTTCTGGAGACTGAGAGTGAGACCTTGCTGTGCAGAACAACCGAAGACCGAAGGTTTGGTTTTGGGCGGAGTGGAGGTCGATAGTGCCCGCGGGAGTGTTTACGATGGCGGTGAGCAAGAGCAGCAACCTGTGAAAGTGCTTCGGGAGAAGAGATACGCAATCCTCGCCAATCGCAGCCCCTGAGAAGCGGTAAACCTTGTAGACGTTCGTAGGCGCGGTGGTGGTTTGAAGGTACATTGCTCTTGCACACATCGATAGCCACAAGGGGGATATCCTCCAGCGTCCAGCCGCTGCCTGAATGACGTGCGAGATGTTCGTGTGTCCTCGTTGTTATGATGGCCTTGCGCTTGTATGCGGCACGCCAGTTTTGTTGTTGGTCGTCTTCCTGCCGTATCACCCCACCCATAGCCCCAAGCGGCCCGCTATTCTACTCTTCATTCGGCATTGCCTGACCCTTGAGGTACCGCGCTCTGTTTTCTTTCCCACCCCAATTTGTTTGTGACCGCAGTGTTTCCTGTTTCCCCGCGGCACAGACGACGTCGACGACCGGAAATTCTCCCGCGATTGCTGGAGGTGTCGTGTCATCCTGCGCCCGCTGTGGAGCAGCTGGCACCGGCCGCCGCGGCAGCGTTGATGGCGACTACCGGTCAACATCGGCCGCGCTCACCATCGAGGCCCCGACCACAAGCAGCCAAGGCGGAGGCGGAGGCGGTAGCGGTAGCGGTAGCGGTAGCGGCTGGACGTCCCCGCTTAGCGGTTACAACCAAAGCGGAGAGGGGGGACGAGAGAGGCCCCGATCAGCTGGAAGCGGCAAGAGCTGTCCGGAAACGACGGCTGCGGCCGCTAGATACCGACAGAACCGCGATCGTAGCGGCGCCGGTGCCGGCGACGGCTTCCTCCGGATTCGGGCGACAGCCAATGTGCCGGTTACATCTCCGGACGAAGACAGCCCCGGTGTTTTCGACTTCGGAGGCGGGCACGGAGGCGCGAGGGGGTATCAGTACCGCCGCCGACGCAGCCGTGCACATGGTGGGAATGCCAACGGGAGGTTTTCTCCCCCACCACCGTCACCGGCCTCGTCGCGGGCTCGCAGCATGACGAGCCCTCCCGGGGGAAGATTCAGCATCGCCTGGTCGAACGGCGGTACCGATGCCGTCACACCGGCGAATTCCACACAGGTGGGTGTGACCGGCGGCAGGGGGCTCATCGGTCCGGGAGTCGTCGGAGTTGGTGGGGGTGACACCGGGCGGAGATTTTTCAGCACCGCTACCAGCGAGCCGCGGTATCACTACCTCCGGACTGGGGTGTCTAGCCCGGCATGGAGCAACGCCGGGAGTTGGACCGGCAGCGCGGACGAGGTGATGCCAGTGAACATGTCTGATGCGTTGTCGTCATCGTCGGGGGAGGAGGAGGAGGAGGAGGAGGAGGAGGAAGGCGGGCGAGGGGGAAGAGAAGTTCATGGAGACGGGAGTGGAGTGAAGAAGTAGGGTTCGAGGTCGGGTTGGAGGTTTCGGTTGGTGGTGGTGATTCTTGGTGGGCTCTGTGTGACGAAGAGGCGGAGGTGTAAGCCTTTTATTTTTGTGAATAGGGTTCATTGGTGTATATCCATCGGGGTGTTCGAAAGGAGTGGTGTTTCGCATATGGACGGCGGAGTCGGACCTTTTCGTGATGGAGAAGGTGGTAATGGCCGGCGTGAGCATTCCGTGAGGTTTATGATGGGAGCCGTTGTGCAATGTACCAATCGCTGCGTATCCACCACACCATACGATAATTTGAATGACAAGAAATATGTGGCGGGCACAGCCGTGTGCTTGGTTTCCGGTAAGATTCAGGGAAACGGCATGCGCTGAAGTATCGGTGCCAGCTACAGCAGTGGGGGTACGGTGAGGTCGACCCTGGCGGATGCAATGTTATGCGAGGGTGGTGTTTGCTGTTTTTTTCTACAGGCCGGTGATGTTGGAGGTCTTTAAGCATGGGGCGATGGCGCTTGTCGATGGGTTTTGAAGTACGGTAAGGGAGGCCTTGACGACTCTCAAGAAGATCAGCAGCAGTGGGCCACAGCCGGCATGCGAGCGTCGAGTAGGTATCATGCGCTTTCGCTGGCGACAAAGTTGTAAGCAATTTGCTTTGGGCGTTTCCGCTATCGATTGCGAAGGAATTGGAGACCACACCATTATTGTGGAATTTACTGCCCTACAATAATACCCCCGTTGTCAATGTTGATGATCCGTGATCTGAGTGACTCCGGTGTCTACTAGGTGCCCGTTCTCCGAAAGAGGTCAAGTCGTGTACTGCGGTAACTATGTTTTGTCACACGATCCTCAGGCGTGAGTAGCTCGCTGTGTTCTTGCCATGCCTAGGCATCGCTTCAAGCCTAGTGCTCCTTCTTGCCCGGCGCCAATGAGTCGAACCCCTGTGCGACTCATCAGATGGGCACATGCAGAGGCCAAAACAATTGGGTTCCTCAGTAGACTTGGAGGTGCAGCCGCTGGCGTTTCAACGAACATGCGCACAGTGACTAGGGCATCCGAGTTGCACGCCCTACCCGACACTATGCTCTCCTTACGGCAGATCGGAGTACACCTGAAAGTTGTGCACACTACACTTGGTCTCAGTTTCCGTGCAACTCTTCTGGAATTACTCGACGCCTTTCAATGTCCTCTTCGTACGGTCGCGGTTGCAATCTTTCTAGACCGCGCTTGGATAGCTCGGCGTCTCATCGTTATTATGTAGGGTCAGCCCCTGACCGACCAGATCATCGGAGGAAACTCTGTTTTACACTGTTCAAACCATGTTTTGGTCTACAATACAGTCGGGTGCCTTCTCTCTCTCTCTCTCTCCCCCTCTCTCTTTTTCCCATTCTCTCCGCCTGCTCTCCCGTTGATGTTGACCCAAATTCTGAGGGGGGGGGGGCGATCTTCTCCGATCTTCGCATTTTCTGGAACCCCCGTGAGCGCTTTGTGGGCCCACACACGCTCACTCTTGCTCTGCCCTCCCTCAGCACACTACACCGATCGGGATCCTGCTTGTAGCGTGCATCTGAGTTCGAGCGCATCGAAGCTACCGGTGACAGCAGTGCCACTGCGAGTCGCCACGCGGAGACGTTCGGCTTCGGATCTTGTACGGGACGGGACCAGACTTCCAATAACACCCGCCCGGGCAAGCAAACAAAGTACACACAGGTGATTTCGCGCGAGGCAAGAAATGAGCATCTAGGCAGACGTACGCAGAGTAATCAGCAGTGAGTAAGTTTAAAACGAGGTTCGAGGCTTCTCCACCATGGCGGTTGGTGCGAAGAGGATCATTCTTTGTTCGTAGGAATCTGCCCTCGCGTCATGCTGATTCTGCTCTTTCCGCCACCGGCGGCTGAGTTTTGTCCGCCTCCGATCCTCTCTGTCGTCAGCTTTCATGCCGCAGCAGTCTCGGTAATTCTGAGAGCTACATCATACGAAACCAAAATCCCCACGGGCTTTCTGAAACACACACTGTATGTAGCAGTATCCCCCAGCGGAAAAGAGGAGAGTAGCGCCCCTGGCCTGTGTCACATATATATGGATCCGAAGGCAGGCAAGCACGCAACACTCATGAGCGGGAGAGAGGAACCATCCATGCCAACCAGCGGGTGAAAATTTTGGCATTCGTTGAAAAATTGTCCCCACAAAGAACGTCCATGTAGAAAAGGGGCGGAGAAAAGAAGCGGTGAAAGATCAAAGACCAACCAAAGAACACAGCACAGCGTCTTCCGAGATGCCGGTGTTCCCCCGTCCCCTGCCTTCCACCGACTGCCAGATTGCTGGCTCTCTTTGGCTTCAACCAACCCACAATGTACCGCAGAACGCCCACGTGATGATGGCAAAGGCAACACGTGCAATGCTCGCTGGCATAAGGGGTTATGGGATATTTTGCGATATGTTCAGGATCCGGCTCTGGTTGCCCTTGTCAGCAATAAACCAGGGACACCCGTTGTGTTGAAAAGTAACGCATTGGTTTCTCATGTCTTTCGTTGTCAGAAGAAAAGATGAGGGCTTGGATGCTGCTGCTGCTGGTGCTGTCAATGCTCCTCGCGTTCGGAGCACACGGCAAGGGGCATCAACGCGCCCGCCAACGCCATCACCCCACAAGACAAGTGCTGCTCTGCTCTGCTGGTGGAGGGCGAGGCCGGCTCTCTCGACGATTTTGGGAAATACCGCCTCCCCCCTCCTTGGTGAGCGATTGTTGAATTGATTGCCGCGCTCAGTTGGTCCCGCAGGTATCTAGGTGATCTGTCGGAGAAATACTAGACTACTGTGTAGAGAGCGGTAGAGACGTTCAAATGCGCTTGTTTTGTCGTTGTTTCTGGATGCAAAGGGTGCCTGCCGCGCCCTTGTCCAGCCAGCCGTCGTCAGTAGATTCTGGTGCAGTCCATGACATGTTCTACACTGCACTGTCCGCGTTGTTCCCTGCGGATGTCGCGTGCGTCACTTCTACAGCGGTGGAGAACTTGCCGTGGCCTGCCCCAGGCTGGGGTTCAACTCGGCAGCAATGAACGACGGGTCCATGACCCCTAGCTGGCTCGCGTTTCGGCAACAGGCCGACCTCCGCCTGGCCCCTTCCTGCCCGCGGGTGGAATGGGAGAAGAGGTGCCCGCCCGGGGCCACCATGCTCCTGGCGGAGAAGAGGAGGGGCGGGTGCCGCGCGGCCGGCTGCGTTGCGGTGGGCGGCGAGCCGAACGACGTGAGAGGTTTTCAGCATTTTTATCTCGCCCGATGTGTGTACGTACAGTGTTTTTTGTTTCGCTCTGCTTCATCTATCTTGAGATTTCATTGTAGAAGGATGTTTGTGTACTGTAGACGATCGCAGTTCCACAGCAGTACTCCTACATTTATGGACGTTGCAGATGGCTTGTGTGGTAGGTGGCATGGTGCCTGCTCAACATGAGAGTGTACTAGACAAGCCTCTCTCGTTAGTTGTCAACGCCTGATGATACTCGGTCTGCCTGGGTTGCCACCGCCCAAGAAATACTGGGTTTGCTCCGTGCACCGCAAGAAAAATTATTTCAAGTCTGCATATCGTACAAGTAGCTGCACCAGCAAATCAATATACCGTGATTGCCGAAAGTTATTTGTCGGGAGGTGTTTCACCCGTTGCCTGTTCAACCCTCCGATCGATTGTGAAGAATTGATTGTCCGGGAGTTGAACGGACGAACGGACATTTTGCAGTTTTGCAGCAGCAATTGTGACAATTGTGAGACATGCTGCTTGCTACTGCTACTTGACGAACGGGCAGAACAAAGAAGAACAAGACGAATCAGAGATCCTGCGGGCGGTCACGGCCCAACAGACCGCCCTCCTTCAGGCCGCGAAGCCCGCCACGCCGAAGACGTTCTACCAGCACGTCGTGGGCCAGCAGCGGGCGTACGGAAAGGCGAGTAAAATGTAAAAAGGAAGAAGAGAGGACGGACGGGAAAAAATGGTCTGCACATGATGACGAAGAAGAGCTTGTTGGGGTTCAACCATTCAGTCAGTCTGTCAGTCAGTCAGTCAGTCAGTCAGTCGTACTTGTCGTTCGATGTTCGAAATTTCACTCATCCTTTTGTGGTGCCTGGCTCTCTCACCGGAGAGATAGATATTTAGTTGAAGCGGCTTTGGTTTTGTTGCTTTTTTCGACAAGTACAGCTACATTATCCGCCTTGTCTTTCGCATTCAGCATTGACACCGGACCGAGAGCAACTACTGGCAGGTACTGCTGTTGATTTACTTCCGTTCGCAGCTTCGCCGCATGCAAGAGAAACGGCAGAATTAATCGAATCGTTGGTACTGGGTACTGATCGGATAGATAGTTTTCACCACCTGGATTCAATATTTTTCGTGCGAGAAAAAACTCAAGAACGATATTGTTTGAACGCATATATTGCACATCGGCACGGGGATCGAATTGTTATGGCATGGATCGCAGAGTAGTAGCAGGAGGATTTGGCCCCTCCGCTTTCGGCAGTACCGTCGAACGTCTACATGGACAAATAGAAATAAATGTTTCGTTGTTTCGGGCACTTGCTGCGAGCAGAGTATTTGAAATTTGAATTTTTGAATATTGTGGAGACCACCAGAATTATTGTCCAATGCATGTGTTTGTGCCCTGCTGCAATCAGACGAGAGGCCCAGAGAACAACAGTGAAAGCATCCACCACACTCCGAACGAAGCCTGAAGAACGAAACCTCCCAGGGAATTAAAATTCTGTAGTCTATGCGTATGTATTTCCTCGCCTTTTTTTTCCGCCCGCCCCCGCCAAGATACTTGTAATCGACACAAGATAGATGGATTGCATACACACGCACCGTATCTTCGTCGTTGTTGCCTCTTCTGTTGTATGACATTGGACAAATATCAAAATCTCCCCCTCTCCCCCTCGTTCGATCCACTGTGTACGCCTTTCCTTTTCGTTCAGGACGAGAAGCGCTTCATGAAGAAGCTGGCAAAGGCGACCAAGAGCTCCCCCTCTGGTAGCGTCGACACTATCCGTGGGCTGGTGGAGGAGGCCGCCACGAAGGGCTTCCGCTCCGTCGCCATTGAGGAGGCGGCGATGGTAGTAGCAAAGCAGGAGCAGCAAGAGAGGGTCCTCGCATTCTTTAGGTGAGAGATGTGTGCAGACGCTGCTCGTCTTCCGTCATGTGTGTGTTGGTTTTTATTGCCTTCACACTGATGGCATGTGGTGTGAGACCCAGTAGTCATCCGTCGCCCCGAAAAGAAGCGGGCAATGAATACCATACGCCAGTGGAGTGCTTCCTGCATGCTTGGGTCTCTCGGTTAAAGGGCTGTGGAACAGATGCATTTTCACTATGCCTTCTCGCTGTGTCTTTTTTTTTCCGTGCAGCACCCCCTCCCCCCCCCCGCCCCCAAGTCTTGAGCATGGCTTTGACAGGTTGTTCGTGTATTGTTGGTGTTGTTGTTGTTTTTCTTCACATTAAACTCGTGTCAGTTGCTAATCCCAAAATCTAGCAAAGACTCGGCCCGTGGTCACAAAAATGCTAAAGCCTATGTATGGTATGTGGTGAATTCTTCCCGCAGAAGTCCAACATCGGGGTTCGTATTCCGACGAGAGATGGTGCCACGGGCCATTCCCTCCCGTGTGTGCAGGTCTTGATTCTCCCCCGTACAACTGGAGCACTTCCTTTTCTTACGTACAGCGTCTCACAACATTTGTCCGTGCTTTGTTGCATGCATCCTGTTTCCGTTTTCATATTATTATTATTTTCGGACAGGAGTCTTCCCGGCGCCGTTGTCGACTACGTCTCGACCACTTCGCTGGATGCTGCGGTAAGTTCTACCTCGCCTGTCATTTGCCGAATGATGCATTGATGATATACAATAGTATAAGGAGGGACAACTGTTGAGAAAAGCACTGAGACGCGTGGCCTCCACAGTTCTCGAGAACGCCTCGAGTGGTTGACCTCGCTTGGTGTGTTAGAGTACAGGGTTATTTTAGTTGATTCGCTGAGTCCTGATACTTACCGTCGATAAGAGAGCCGAGCAGCCTGCGTTATTGTCCCGTGTACTGTAGGGTGAGGGAGCGAGCTCAGCGGTTGTGACAGTGCCAAACCCCTGGGGTAATGTCGACGATGTATCGTGAGATTCCGCTGTATTCAGTTGTGCCCGATGCGTGGAAACGTTGCAGCGATGTTGCGCCTGAAGTCTTGGTTGGTTATATCGAGAGCATTTTGTTCCCTCGTGGCTGCACCGAAAATCGTTCTTTCGACGTGTCTCCCCTACTATTATAGATACCCCGAACATTCACCCCATCCTCCCACACCCTTTCCCCCGCGCTGCCTCTCGTCCACCCCACCTTACCACCAGAGGCGCTCGAACGCCTTGAAGGCGGAAATTGTCAAGCTGAGGAACACCGTCAAGGACCTCACGAGGACTGTGCACGAGAAGGAGCTCATCTCCACGGCTCAAGCGAGCGCGCTCACGGCGGAGCAGGCCAAGTCCAAGGCGGACCGCAACGAGGCGGCCGCCGAGGCAAAGTACTTCCGTGACGAGGTGGAGGCGCTCCGAGCCACCGTCGATTACGTGCTGGAAACGGCCGCCTCCGACCACGAGACGTCCGCGAGGACGGAGGGCGACCTCATCGCAAAGCTCGACACCGCCGAGGGCATCGTCGCCGCCCTCACCGACACCGTCGCCGAGCAGCAACTGGCGGCCCAGAAGGAGTCTGAGCGATCGGACCTCTCCCTCCGCCTGGTCGAGCAAGAAGCGGCCATGGCTCGAGCATCCACGCTCGCTATAGAAGAGGAGCTGTCTGAAGCTGAGCAGCGCGAGATTGAGCTCCAGTGCCTTCTGGACGTGGGCACGGACACGAGGAAGGAGCTGGAGGATGAACTGGCCTTGTGCCGGACGAACGTAAGCAGCCGACATGGGAGTTTCGACAGCGATTGACGCTTGGCACTGCTACTGATGTCTGTATCGTAGCCTGGCACAACGAGAGCCATACATACGGCAACCCTTTTTATCCCCCCACCTCCCGCTCACCCTCCCTTCCTCCGCTGCAACGTCTCGACTGTCGCCACTCGATGTACCGACGTAGGTGAACGAGGCTCGCGCAATCGCTGAGTCCTACGGTGCCGACATCGAGGACCTGGACTCCCGTGCTCTCGCGGTCGCCCTCGCTCTGGCCGACGACGTCGCCGAGAAGGCGTCCACCGTGGAAAGCCTGGCGCACGTCGCGGAGGGAGCGGTGCTCGGCGCCACGCCCCCGTTCGACAACGACGACCGCTGGGGCTCGCACGCAGGCTATCCAATGATCCGGTGCGTGTTGGCGTGCTTCGATTGCAAATGCAAAGCATAGGAGTAGCATGTTTCCCGCTGGCGTGGTATTGGTGATTGCCGTTATTTTCGTTGCGCGTGCTTGGTGATGGCGATGTTGGTTGTGGTTCATGTTGGGGTGGTCACGTGCCGTCTCGATGACGTGTACAATATGGCAACTATACCAGATTTTCATGCAGAAACACCATTGGTTTCAGACGTGATTTGATGTTGAACAGTCACGACCCCCACCCCTCGCCACCGCCGCCGCCGCGCACGCCTCGGCTGCTCTAATGCCGCGCCTTTTACTGTACTGCAGATCCCACTTGGAGGCCGTGCAGCGACTGGTGTTGACGACTACGTCTACCCTTGTGGAGGAGGTATCATGCTGCGAGCACGACAAGGCGGAGGCGGTGAATCGCGAGGCCAGAACGCAACAGAGGATGAAGGAGGTCGAGGACGAGCTCACAACCTGCCACATGAGCGACGCCAGCACTACGCACGCCAGCACCCCCGACGACGCCACCACCGATCCCAGCATCAGCGACAGCACCAGCACCAGCGACGCCGCAAGCGACCGTACCGTGACGGGCGTGGACACCGTTGAGAACGACACGGACACGGCCGGCGCGGGCGAAGCGGTGGACAGAAAGGAGGTCAACGATGACGGCGGCGAGGGGGGTTTCGGCATTGAAGAGGATGACGCCTACAGCAGTGGCACCAGCCCGCCTACCCTAGACGGGGTTTGACTTGGTCCTGTTGATTCGTTGTCCTTGTTTTCGTGTGTTTGTGGTCGTGGCAGCTTGCCCTGGTTTTGGTTCAGAGCTCGTGAAAGTGTGGAGTCTTTCCGTTACATGCGCGTGCCGGATCTGTTTGATCTCTTGACAGTTTGGCTGGCATGTAGAATCAATCCTGCATGTTGTTGGGTGCAAGGTTTAGACCTTCTCTTGTGTATCCCGTTTTGGAGACGCAGCCGCCGACTTTGTGTGCCTTTGGTGCTGCTGCCCTTGCGCTGATCTATTTTTCATTGCTTCCCCTCGTGGAACAGCATTTGTTTCTTCGGTTTTCAAGAACGAGCTTTTTTTTTTTCTTCCGTTCCGTTCAAGCTCGGGGAGTTTATCTCGCGTGTGAAAAATTCTTACTCGAACCTGCTGGGTGTGCAGTGGTGCCGAACTATTTCCGAGATTGCCGCTAAGTCCCGGTGTTGGTCCGTTTACTTGCTTGGCATGATCTTGGCGATAAAAACTCGGTTAATTGAACTGGCATTCCGCAGCTCTGTCAAATTTTGCTGCCGATTGCGGGAGGATCCGCACTGCACTACGTGTGCTGTGCGTGATCGCCTGCTGATCGCGGCGAAAATTATTTTGACATTTGAGCGCGTGCGTGGTGTCTTTTTTCCGTGGTTGGTGATCGACTTGGTTACGTAGCGGGGCGCGAGCTCTTGGGAACAGTTTTGATTTCGAAACGAGAGGAATGCGCGGGGCTTATTTCCGGAGGTGCGCGGCCCCGCGTGGTTGGTGATTTTTTCATGATTGCCGGGTTCGTTCATGTTTGGTTGTCTGGGAGGGGTAGCCGACTCTTTTTTATTTTACGCGACGAGCCGAAGGTTTGTTTCTGCGAAGGCAAGACAAAGCTAAATGACGGGATTCGTTGCCTTGAGTGATGCACTCATGATAAACGCATGCCGTCATTTAGTTTTGTCGTGCCTTGAGAGAGACCTTCAGCCCATCCTGGTCAGCGCCGCATACATCTATCCGTGGTATTCAATTTTCTTTTGTCTGCATCGAACCAAAGCGCGACGGATCGGACAAAACAATAGTCTAAGTAGATGCAAGTACTGGTGTTCGTGGTTGCATCTGATGTGATGTGCGTTCTGGTGTGACGTCAGTGTTGCGCAACGTTAACGTTGGAAGCACCACAAGCCGGGTTCGCAGTGACGGTGTTTCCTTGTTCACCACTTGCATTTTTTTTTTTTTTCCCTTGATCGGGTCTTTCACGAGAAGAGTTAGTGCCGCGTCTGTCTGTTTTCGTCCTTGGTCCACCCACCGTACAACAGTCTACCTTTTGTCTGTTTACGGAGGCCTCCGCAATCGGGTCCAATGATGACCGCTGGGCATCGCACGAGGCGTCGAAAAGAGCATCGTACTGTAGGCTCTCCCGTGTGCTCGCATTTTGACGGGACGGTTGCATACATGGCACTGGTGTGTGGTGGTGGTTGTTGGTTCTGCTGGTGGGGTGATTTTTTTTTTTTTTTTTGGCGAAACAAGTAAGACTAGGACAGAGAAATAAGCTCAACAACTGTTTGAGGAAAGCGCAACACATGAACACTTTTCACATGAAAGAAGATGCAGTAGAGTGGGCGATGAAAACACCTAAGAGCACGTGAGGCTCTCATCCGCCTCCTCACGGCGGGGGGCTTGTTTCTGTCGATGGCATGGGTACCATCCCTCAGGAGGAACAGGTGTGAGCATTAGCCAGCTGACTAAAAGTCACGGATGATGGTCGCATTGCACACCAATCGACAGGCGGCAGGTTCGCGTCTTCGATCATGCTGCCGTCAAACACACGGACAGCCTGTGCCGCGCTGCGTTCGCAACCTGTTCAACGCGGCCGTGCGGCGGCACGTAACAGCATTGCCTTCCAGGCAACCACAAAAGTAGTTGTGGACCCGTCTCTTTTCAATGTTACTTTTGCGCTACTAAATGAGCTTACAATCACACAATGACCGGCGCGTCGGAAGCGGCAGCAGCATGGTTGTCATATGCCTTCTCCGGCTAAGTCTGTAACCAACGAACTACTAGGGTCCTAGAGTTCCATACTCTCAGGCACCTCTACCGCACAACGAACGAAACGCACTTTGCTACACACCCGCACCGGCTAAATAGGAACCAAGAAGAACAAGCATCATCAGATGGCAGTGTGTCGAAGCACGAAAGCCTCGTATGGGCAGGGCTCGTCTCAGCCTACAAATGCACAATACCGATTGCGAACTCGGCGCCGTCCAATCCAAACCACCGTACATGATACCACGAACGCGTTCGTACGCAAGACGCTAAAGTCTACACACATGCGAACGCAATCACTACTGCTACGTGCGGCTCCTGTTGTACCGCTGCTTGTCGGGAGCCGAGTTATTCTCCTCTTGTTGTGTTACGTACGAGTTCGACAACCGCTGCTGCAGCCGCGTAGTCTCAGCTGCAACAGCGGCAGCAGCAGCAGCAGCAGCAGCAGCAGCAGCAGCAGCAGCAGCAGCAGCGGGAGAGAGCTTGTCTACTCTCACTCGACGGCGTGCACGTGCGCTTTGTCGGTGCCAGGGTTCCGAGACTACGTTGTCATCGATGGTGGTACTAAGCTGCTGTTAGCCTGAGGTGGTGTGGCAATCTTGCCCCCCCTACCCTGTGCCTCTCAGAACAAGCCCTTGAGCTCCTCGATGATCGCCAGGATCTCGGGGTCGTCCTGGTACTTGGACATGGCGCTCATGCCGTTCTGGGTAACGTCTTGGATGGCGGCCATGACCTACGTGCCGTCGCGTACACGCGGCACCAGGATATCAAAACAGGAGTAGAGGAAACACGCAACAACAATAAAAATGGTCGTCATATTTTGAAATGCACAGGGAGGGACAAGGGAACATGTGGCGGCATGCTGATCATCAAGAGCTGTTTTACCTTATTATCAGTCCTCCTTCCTAACAATCGTTAAACCACTGTGTCCTTCCGAATCTGACAAACGGAAGAGGGTATATACAAATACATGCTCATGGTCTACGTCTGGGCGAAGGCGGGTGCACAGTGAGCCAACCCAACTCTCTCTCTCTCTTGCAAGGCAACCAAGACCGCATTTCGTCAAACAGAGTCCTTCCCAAAACGCTTACCTTCGGATTGCTCCGAGCCTTCTGGAACGCCTCCATGGCTTTCGGGTTGTTCATCATCTTCCCGATCATGTCACCCATGCCTCCCATCCCTCCGCCCGCCCCTCCTCCTGGCGCACTGCCCCCCGCCGTACCGCCTGCTCCTCCCATCGCGCCAAGAATGCTGCCGATGTCGAAGCCACCGGCTCCCTCTTCCGCCCCGCCAGCGGCCCCTCCGCCGCCCCCGCCCATACCCCCGAGGCCACTCAAGATGTCGTTGATGTTGACACCGCCCCCGCCCCCGCCCATGTTGGGCATCCCCCCGGGCATCCCGCCGACGGGCATCCCACCGGGCATGCCCCCAGGCATACCACCGCCGCCTCCGGGCTGCTGCTGTTGTTGGCCGCCGCCGCCGCCGCTGCCGCCGGAGGGGTCGTTGTTCATCTTCTTCACCTGCTTGCAGCAGCAAAAGGGGCAAACACCCGAGCCGCGGGGCGGGTAGGTGGTGGGAATCCTGGATGTTTCGTTGACGTGGATGAAACTGCTGAGTTGGGTGTGTGTGGTGAAATGTGCCGTGCCTCAATGTCGAGTCAAAAAGGGCGTAGATACACTTGCCACACACGGTGTTATCTAACGCATCTGCGATCACGATGGCTAGGCAACACTTGCGGTGGATGCGGCTACTTGTTTTGCCTTCGAAAAAGCGAGTTGGCGCCGGCTGAGAGAGAGGCAAGCGATCACTTTCGTGGTTGCAGGTGCCTTGCGTCAAGTGTCATCGAGGACGCAAAAAGTGATGAAGTGTCACAAGCACAATTAGAGGGGCGATGTCCAACAAGAGGCTCCATTCACTCTCTTCAAAGGCAAACGCCCCCGGGTCCCTTAGCACACCCTCCAAACGCGAACAACACGAGGGGCACCGACCAAACATCAATGCGTCAAAATATTCCCAGATACCAACCCCTGGCTTGTTCCGCGCCAACCTAGACCCGTCCCTGGGAGCATCTCTTCCAAGTCTTCTCCTCACCTCGACGTCCTTGTAGGCGGCGTCGGCCTGGTCTTGTGCCTGGCGGATGCCCCCCCTCCGCTCCCAGCACCACCATCGGTGTCGCCGGACGATGATGGCGGAGGTGCGGTGATCCCCTTGGCCCTAGCGTCGACCAGGAGGTCCACGAACTCCGACTTCTCGAAGAGCCCTCGGTACCTGACCCCTCGCTCGTCGAGCTCCTCCTTTATCGCGGAGACGAGCATCGCGGAGGCCTGCAACGCCCGTGCCAAAGCGTGTGTGTGGGGGGTAAATCGTTCGCTGGCGTTGACAGCACCAAAACGGCTGACCACTATTGGCAACAGTCATTGGCGGTACCATAGGCAGAAGAGCAACAAAGAACGCTGTCGAGTAGGAATCAGAGTACGCGTGCAATGTGTAGGTGTGGGTTAGTGGTTCGGGGTACGGTTGTCGTATTCCGCAGGGCATCGAAGCGCACAGATACGGGAATTGTGGAACCAGGGCATGGCGTTGACTTACAAACCACGGGACCTCCCGCAGGGGGGGGGGGGGGCAGAGAGAACAATGGTAATGAAATACGAAGCACGCAGGTGCACCTCTATATTCTAGCTGCGGAGGAATATAACCGGGTTTCTTTCACCACCTGGAGAAAGGGTTCCTGCCGTCGAGTGAGCAACAGCAAGAAATAACACTGAAAAAAAAAAACAAGGAACACACCAACACGAAAGAACGTGCACTACGAGGCGAAACCGCGGAACAGACAATCTTAGCTCCATCAAGCCAGGTCACCTACCTCATCGGCGGCGTCTTCTCCGGCAGGCGACGCTGCCTCCTCCTCCTTCTCCTTCTTCTCGTCTTCCGCCTCGGCCGTGTCGGCGGCAACAGCAGGCGGGGCGGCGTCGTCGACGGTTGCGACGAGACCTCTTCCTCGGCGGCCGGCTCCCCTTCATCGCCAGCCGCGGGAGCAGCAGCAGCAGCAGCAGTAGCAGCAGTAGCAGCAGCAGCAGCAACAGCAACAGCAGCAGCAGCAGTGTCCGCGGCGTCAGAGCTCGTCTCTCCTCCCGCCGCCTCGGCCATACCTTGTTCTTCCTCCTCTTCCACCGCATCACTACTCTCCCCTTCCCCTGTCGCGTTTCCTCCCCCGTCTACCCTCGCCTCCGCGAGCTTCATCACGAACTCCGACTTCTCCAACAGGCTCACGTAGCTCACGCCTAGGGCGTCCAGCTCCGCCTTTATCTGCCCCGCGGTCATGCGAGCCTCCCTGATCTTGGCCGCCCGCGCGCCCACGCCGCCGCCCCCAGAGGCTTTAGAGAGTGCGAACAAGGTTCACGGAACGGGAATGGGTGCTCTCGATGTCTGCGGCGCACGACTCGACAGCCGTCTGAGTGTCGTCCAACTAAGAAGGCATATCGAGGGCAGCAACGGCTGCGGAGACTGTTGCGGCGGGGGGGAGGATGGGTGTAAACAGAGTTGCCGTGTCGATGGTCCTATTTGTGCCAGGCTACGATACGGACATCGGCAGTGCCGCCAATGCGTCAATGTATGTATCACTATCACTGTCATGTCCAAGTCCTTGGTTGAGTGCTCACCTCCTACTCGGAAACGGTCAGCTCGTCCTCCAGCTCCTCCCTCCTGTCCTTGCCGACGTCCAGGAGGCCATCGAGCTCGATTTCTCAGTGCCGGGCCTCAGGCTCCCCGAACTCGCACCTCGCTGTCGACTCATCGACCATCCGTGTCACGGCATCCAGGCGGGTGCCGTACACATCAGACGAACGGAGGGAGGGGGGGGCGGGGTACAAGCCGCTATTACCTCCCGGCTACCACATTCTCGATCGGGAGACACGTGTGACACAAATCGCGGTGTGACGCTGGGTATTGGGCCTGTCAACACGAATGCCCACCGGGTATGAGGAAAAGGAACGCTTGGCTTGGGCCTTAAGGATTTATCTCATGGGAAAAAATCGAACGAATCGGGGGCGATGACGTCATAGAGGAATCAGTGGCAGCTGGTGAAAACTAAAGGCAAACTCCTACCTCTACCACGCCACCGACATTGCAGTCACCCCTCGTCGAACAACAATCAACTTCGTCCGCTACAACACCAACAACAGAGCCAACAGCCACCGCCACAGCAGGACACCGGTCCATCACACAACAGAGTGTTACAAGCACGCTCGAGAGCTACTATCGCTTACCACGTCCCCTGAGCCGCCTCGTGGGAAGCCGAGCAGTCGTTCACGCCCAGCTTCGCTACATCCGCAAGTCGCGGACGCGCGCAAGTTTCCCTCGTTGGGCCTCTCCGCCGCGAAGAGCGAGATATCGACGGACGCGCTGTCGATCTCGGCCAGATCCTGCTCGCAGGACTCCAGGCCCTCCCGAACAGCGAGCGTGGATGCTCGAGCCTTGGCCGCTTCTTGCAGAGATGCCTCACGATTGCTTTCTACCAGGCGGAGGGAGAGGTCCGATCGCTCCGACTCCCTCTGGGTGGCAAGCTGCTGCTCGCCCACGGTCTCTGTGAGGGCGGCGATGGTGCCCTCGGCGGTACTGAGGTTTGGGACGGGGTCGCCCTCCGTCCTCGCCGAAGTCTCGCGGTCGGAGGCAGCCGTTTCCTCGACGTGATCGATGATGGCTCGGAGTGCTTCCACCTCCTCACGAAATGACTTGTCCTGCCACCTCGTTGCAGTCCGCCTCCAACTTGGGCCGCTCGGTTCTGAGCGCTCTGAGCCGTGGAGATCATTTGCTTCTTCTGGACCGTCCTCGTCAAGTCCTCGACGGTGTTCTCCATCGTAACGATGTCGGTCTTCAGGGCGTTCGAACGCCTCTGGTGGTAAGGTGAGTGTACAACAGGCAGCGAGGGGGGGGGGGGCGTTGGAGAATGGGGTGAATGTTCGGGGGGTCCAGCAGGGGAGACATGTCGAAAGAATGCTTTGCGGTGCAGTCACGAGGGATAAACAGCTCAGAATACAGAACAAACCGCGACTTCAGACGCAGCGTCGCTCCAACATTTCTACGCATCGGGCACAACTCAACCCGGCGGAACCTCAAGTTACATCGCCAACATACCTCACGGGATTTGCGCTGTTAGAACCGCTGAGCTCGGTCCCTCACCCTACAGCCCACGGAACAAGGTCAACCACTCGAGCCGTTCTCGAGAACTGGAGTAGTGCCCCAGGGCTTTCCTGAACGCTAGTCCCTCGTTATGCTACTGTAGTGTACATCAATCCACCAATGTAGCATATGGTTGGCGAGGTAGAACTTACCGCAGCATCCAGCGAAGTGGTCGACGCGTAGTCGACAACGGCGCCGGGAAGACTCCTGTCCAATAAAATGAAAGGGGGAACGGGATGCAAGCAAGAAAGCATGGACAATTGTTGTGAGACGCTGCATGTAAGGACCGATGGTTCTCCAGTTGTACGTGCGAGAATCGAGACCTGTGCACACAAGGCAATGGCCCGTGGCACCATCTCTCGTCGTAAAACGGACCGCAATTCTAAACGTTTGCGGGAAGTTCTCACCACAATACACGAACAATCATTCAAAGCCTTACTTGGCGGTGCTACACTGAGAAATATAAAAAGAAACGGCGGGAAGGTATTTTTGCAGAAATGCACCTGTTCCACAGCCCCATCGCCGAGAGACCCAGACATGCAGGAAGCAATCCAAAGATTGGCGTATGGGAACTCTAAGTCCACCTCTTTTCGGGGGATGAATGACTACTGGGTACAACCTCACACCATATTTCATCATTGCAAAGGCAATAACAAGCATCACACACATGACGGAAGACGCAGCGTCTGCGCACATCCCTCACGTAAAGAACGCGAAAATCTTCTCTTGCTGGTCCTGTGTGGCGACAACCGTCGTCGCCCTGTCAATGGTGACGGAGCGGAAGCCCTTCGTGGTGGCCTCCTCCACGAGCTCACGGACAGTGTCGACGTCGCTAGACACAGACTGTTACGGATGACATCGTCGGTGCTGTTGCTTTTAAGTGTGGGAAAGGATATCAGCATCGGTACTGGTCTGTGCTTCTACTGCTGCTGCAAAGGAACCTCTAACAAGAAACATAGGAGACTCATGCACAGATGCAGGACTTTTGCCCCCGCTTTACTGAGCGTACTACAGCCTCCGGGTCGGTGTTAATCTCACCATCCAAAACGAAGCATGAACACAGCTCGTGGCGGATCCCTTTGTTTTTTCTGGTGCTTCGGTGTGTGGGCAGGGGTCACCTGGAATAAAAAATCTAGCTGCCGTGTCAACAAGTGCCAAAAAACAAAGCTTCTAAGAAAACCAGGATTCATTGCGCAACAAACCGGTGCCAGCGCATGCATGCATGCATGCACTGCCACCAAGAAAGTTAGAGATGACCCATTGCCATTACAGCACCTGCACCAGCTGCACTACAGGTGCTTTCGTGAAAGCTGCCACCACTGCTGTGCATTTGTGTCTGTGTCAGCCATGTGAGGTGCCGATCGTTTGGCGGTACTGCAAGGTACTGCTGCTCTTGCAGCGTTCTAGCAGAGAAGGGCAGGTAGGTGTTGTTCGTGTTCCTACGCCGTTCATGTGCAGCAGCACACTGCCAGCGGGAGCGGGTGCATGGTCGGTATAGCCGTCAGAAAACGATTCCCCAAGTAAGCAGTCTGGGTTGTTGCGTTGCCGCCTGGAAGGCGTGTCTCGTTCCTTTCACAGCATCGCGCATAGATTTTAAGCCGTCACCTGCGGACCATTACCCCCCTCTACGTACGACTGTACTAGCTCTCCGTCTTGTACAACAACATTCCTCGAGTACACGAACACGCTCTTTTAACTAGGAGCTGCACCCACGTGTGAAGCTGTCGCCTTCGCCATCTACTTTCCAATATCCTCGACTATGTGCCCGAAGGACAACGGCCCCAGTCCTAAATTTGTACCTGCATCCCCTGGTCCACGTTGGTACTCCTTGATGGCACGACTATGGACATCCCGCACACCCTAGACCTTCTTAACCTTGGTTTGTTCGGTCATGTTATGTTTTCCTCTGTACATAAACAAAACATATGTGTCCCCCTTTGACCCAGCTAGATACTCCGTTTTAGCATTTCGACTTCGTCGTTTCCGACCCCTTTCAACGCGTCGTGTACGACCTTCACCTTGACACACCTAGTGGGTTGTCCACCCCTCTTCTTATTTTGTGCCAACTGCGCCTACCAAGCTATTCTCGGTCACCTCCCCTCTTCTATTCCAGATTGCCTGTGTCTCTTCCCCGACCTTAGGGATTGGATCCCATCTTGAGACTGATGACGATCCCTCACCATTTTTTCCCATCCGACTCTGCGGGGGGGGCTCTCGTCTTCACTCGTAACAGGCGGAAGGGATATTGGAAGAACTTCTCGCCGAACACGGCATTGGCGAAACTGAGGGCCAGATGGAGTTCCGGACTTCTCACGTGGCGAATCACTGGATGGCACGAATTTTCGACGGGGCGTCCAACGTCAGCGGCTCCGTGGATGTCGGGAAAACATGGTGAGGCATTTTCCTCATCATCCTCTCCAATTACTACTGTAACAGCAGGCAGGATATATGCGCGCGTCAAGCGGTTTGGTTAGGACCCCTGCGTGGACACTTGAGCTGCGAGCGCGTTCTTCGCGGCCGCTACCTCTACAATACCAGGCCAAGACGAGGCTTGTCCATCTGCCCCGCGTCACCTCTAATGTGTTTCCATCCACTTTCCCTAACCCTTGCAACAACCACTTGACTAACGGATTGAGGTACCTTTCCGTGGCGTTAACAGGGGCTATCCCGGGGAGCTCATCACTCACGCGTTGAAGAAGGCGAACATGGACTGGCCAGGGGAGGACGTGTTCGACCCCCGGCAACTGGCATGCCGTTCATGGGCTGTGGATGTTCCCGGTCCTGAATCGGACCCTGCCTCGGTTCCTGACTCGGTTACTGCCTCGGATACTGCCTCGGGTCCAGACTCTGGTCCTGACTCTCGGCCTACAGGTAAGACATTAATGTTGTTTAGTAATGAATGGTGGTGTTCATTCTCGTGGATGGAAATGTTTCATTGTTGAGCAGGTACTTGTTTTAACATAGGAGGCTTGACTTGTATGCTCATCATGAGGGCCTCAAAACAGGTCGAGGTGCGTGTTTTACTGGATGAGAGGTATGAGTTATTTTTTGTATAAGGGAGAGATGAGCAGAAGTTTGCCGGGAAGACAACACAGCATTCAGGAACCTAACCCTAAGTCAGACAGCCCAGCCTTTCCTCAACATGCTCCCGGCGAACGCTTTCCATTTGTATGCCCAAAGAATGCTCGACACAAGCTACGCATTCTTTTTTCCTACCACGTGTCTCAGGTATGCTATCAACGTTGGTGGAACCATCCAGGCTCACCACTTCTCAAACAAACCCTCACGCATACCCCTGTCCTGATTCAGAGTAGGGTGACCCCTGCCCAACGCACACCCGCCTAACCCCATTTCTTCCTGGAACTCATTGTTTGGCAGCTAAAGCGGCCGCCAATATTATATGCCTGCCGCCTTGTCGAAGCTCCGCGATAAAATAGGCGTCCCAGCATGCGTGCGTATGTCGCCTGCAGAGTTTACTTTTAACCCTCTATCCCGGGCCGTTCATGAACACCACATGGACGCTGGCCGTGCCGTTCAAGCAGGTGTGCTAAACATTGACCGTCACAATGTAGTTTCACCATTAAAGTCGTAACCCTAAGCGTACCATGTCGCTCTCTTGTACCCTGCATGCCCGATGCACGCTCAGACCGTCCTACACCTGACGCTATCCGCGAAGGTCTCATGGCGCGCGCCCTGCACGTCGCCCTCCTACAAATCGACGAGGAAGAAACCTTGTGGTTCACCTCGACCGGGCAGCTAGACCTCGTGTCCACAACCATCAGCCATGTTGCCAGAGGCGCGCCTGTTGCGAATGTAGTCGTAAACGACAACACCTCGGTGGATGCACTGCGCCGGACTACGGTTTTCGGACATGGATACCAGGGCAGATACTCTGTAGACTCAGCCGAAATAGAGGCAAGAGTGCGTGAACTCCCTGCCGCGTCAGTGCTCAGGATGGTGTGGAGAGCATACGATGCTATGACGTGCGACTTTAACGATTTATAAGAAAACATGCGCGGCGTCAAACGGTTGTCAATCGAGGCCAACATCCTTGCCCCTTTTGGGGAGGGTTTGGAGGGGCTTGAGTTTCCCCACCGTTTGGTTGTCCTCAATTTTCACGGGCCCTTCGACATATCGATTGAGGGCGAAGGGTTCCCGGAAACAGTCAAGAAGATGTCATCGGGAGGCGGCCCAAATGGGAGTTTCGACCGGCCAATTGGCAGGGTCCGCTGGCCTTCATATTTGGTTGAACTCAAGGTAGAGGACAATTCAACCAACACATTGAACAGCTTGACCTTCCCGGCTCCGTCAAGTACGTATTTCCAGGAGGATGGTTCAACAAGCCTATCGCGGGGGTGACTTGGCCAAAATCATTGCAACAGTTGACGTTTGGGATGAGGTTTAACCAGCCGTTGACGTCGACCGCCAATGATTGGCCTGAGGGATTATTCAGTCTAGAGCGGTGCAGAGTTCCGGCAGAGCCTGGACGACGCAGTGTTTCCTCTTCGGCTTCAACGTCTCGATCTCGGGGGGGGGTGGAACAAGAGTATGGGGGGAGTGAGCCTCCCTCACGGGCTCGAGGTTGTCGTGTTTGGAGAGTCTTTCAACCGACCCTTGAACAACGTTCGATGGAAATCGTCTGCCATCAGAGTTATCTCGTTCAAGTTGGCATTCAACCAGAAAGTACATGCTGTGGAATGGCCCCGCTCCTTGAAGGTGATTAGGTTCGGAGATCGTTTTGCCGAGTGTGAGTCGCTTTCTCGCACGCAGTGGCCGCCCACTCTACTCGAGCTCGAGGTAGGGGGGGGGATGGGCCCAGGCTTCTAACGTATCACTTTGCCGCAGAGCCTGCAGAAGTTGGTGCTTGGGGGCGAGTTTAATGGAAAGTTTCGCCGTGCTCAGCTGCCACCTCGGCTGCAATCGCTTGTCTTCGGACGAAAGTACGCCCAGCCCATTTGTGGTCGACAGTCATGGCCTCGAACCCTCAAGGAGATGTCATTTGGGGCGAGCTACAGGGAGGACCTAACCCGAATTGCGTGGCCTTCAGCTACAGTCGACCTGCGGTTTGAGGGGATGTGTGAAGATGACAACTTCGTGGAGAGGGTACATTTGCGGGGGAGGGGTGGTCGTGACTCGCTCACCCTATTTAGTGACAAGGGGAGCCTTTCCTTCTTGGAAAAACAAGTAAGTGGCTCACGTCAAGTGAGTAGGCAGCTCGGGGTTTGTAGTAGGACAGACCACCCGGGCCCCCCAGGAGACGGACGGCGGGGGGAGCCAATGTCAATCGCGTGCTAGCCAGCGTTCGTACGAGTTTTTTCTTCCCCAATAGTGTTGTTGCAATTGTTGCTGGCTTGTTCATGGCCACTTGCTTAGTCGGAATACGACTGGGGGCGCGCGTAGCTACATGCCACTATTCCCTTGTTATATGACCTCCTGAGGGGGGTCATGTAGCGTTTTGCGTTGTTAATGTACAGCGATTGCCTGTCAGACGATATCCTTGTGTGAGTGGGTCTTTCATTCGCATACCCCACGCATTGTTCGACCCTGTCTCAAATGCTCATATCGAGCCAAATACAGCAGTGCTGCAGCTCAATACAGTGCAAACCTCGTGGGGGGCTCCAGGATCGTGCGGTAGGGAATGTATGAACCACTTTCTCACACCACACCGGGTTGGTTCGGGCAGATTAAACCTTGTGTGGCCGACACAAGTCAGCCGTGACGGTTGCCTGTCTGTCTCACCATGGGCGGGCATTGCCGTTCGGGTGAACTGAGCAAGAGGGTCCTGCGTGCTGCCCGCTACAAACGCTTTGTTCAGTTTTTTTCGTTTGTTTGTGATTTATTTGCTGGTTGAGTGGCCGCTCGTTGTACACTACCCGACCGCCCGACCGACCCAACCCTACCCTACCCTACCCTACCCAAAACCCAACCCTTAACCCAATCCAACGGCGACGAACGACGAAGCGACGGCGGCGCGATCGGCGGCGGCGACCCAACCCCGACACAACACAACACAACACAACACAACACAACCAAACCAAACCAAACCCCCCAGAGACCGAACCCAGACCGCCAACCCGGACCAATCCAACCCGACCCAACTCAATTTATTCAACCCAACAGGATACGGTCGGTCGGGTAAAGACGAACCCATCAAAACACCTAGAGCAAAAACACAGCCCCCAAAATCCGCCCGATCCCAAGTGAACCGACTGCAACATGCAGGGCGGCACTTTCAACAAACACGACGCCCCAGTGAAGACCTCTCCAAAGAACCACACAGCAATTTGCAACGCGCACAAATACTCCGCCACAAACATGTAGTAGATAGAAACGTGACGCACAGGAGACGAGCGACCACGAAGAAGTCCGTTCGAATCAGGCCGCCCGACCGACGGACAAACCGACCGACGACCGACCGACCGACCGACCGACCGAACCCAACCCTACTCTACCCTATACCCTACACACAACCCAACCCCAACCCTACCCCAACCCGTCCGAACCATCGACCGACCGACTGACCGACCCACACACTACACCCAACCTAACCCAACCCAACACAAAAACAAAACCAGACCAACCGACCGACCAAACCCACCCTACCTACCCCTCCCTACCCCACCCTACACAACCCAACACAAAACGCAACCCAACCCCAACCCAACCGACCGACCGACCGACCGAGCCAAC